TGTTGTGAAATACACGTCCCAGAGCTGTAGGGGGAGCTCGTTGAGAAAACATGCGATGACAAAAGTGAAAACCAGCGAAGAAATGGCTAGAGTTGCCAAGTTCCCCTTTAAAGAAATAAAACGTTTTTCAAGACCCTCCCACTGAACATAACAGTATAAAGTGCACATTAATTATTGGGTTAGAGTTTATACAGTACAGCCTTTCAGCGTCTCCACATTGAAGACCTGCTATGCCTCTGAAGTCAGCCTCTCTTGATGCTTCCTGAACCTGAAAGGAGAAAATGGCTCAGCTTAGATTCTACGAGAGATGTTATGTCTAGTCACTACATATTAAACGTATTATAAGGTGCTTTATACACACTGCACTCGCATCATTAGTTTAATAAGTACTAATAAGGGGAACCCAAAATATTTGACGTTACCACATAAAAAGCAAATGCCAGGATACCAATGTATTAGACCCGCCCCCAGAATGATAAAATGACCATTCATCATTGGCCGGTTCATTTTTATTTTAGTGGAGTGAGCTGTATTTGACCTACCTGGTGATGCAGCAGTTAGAGAAGCAGCTGTTCTCATTGAGTCTGTACACCCCAGAGTTTGGCAGATCTTTACACACGGACAAGAACTTTTGCAGCTCTGATGTTGGAGTTCCACTCTGCTGCTGTTGCTAAATGAGCCAGAAAAGTGACAGTTTACACCGAGTGTGACAGTTTGTTTAAAAAAAGTTAAACATTACTCCTCTCCAGTGGTGGAAAGTAAATGTTCTTAAGTACTGTACATTTTTGAGGCGCTTGTTCTTATAGTATATCTATTTTCTGCTACTTACTATCTGATCATCCTGTAAAACTAGGTAAGTTATACAAATTATACAAAATAATCGATTACAAATGTATAAAATGAGGAAAAATCACCTTGATGGTGTCATAGGTGTCGGTGATGATTGTGATGAAAAGGCTGAGAATCATGTAGATGAAGAGCGAGACAAAGGTATAGAGGTAGACTCTGCTGAAAGTCCACACCAGGCTGCTCTTTTGTTTCATGTTCTTAAAGGTGGGAAACATGTCGTCTCCGTTGATCAGGGAAAACAGACACTCTGAAACCGTGTTCAAGGTCCGAAACTAAAACAAAAAGCGAAGAGAGATTGTTTTTATTTTCGGATGTCCTTGATGATTATTTAAACGAGCAGAACCTGATTAGAATTGAAAACATTCTGATTTGGCTTTTGCGAAAACCAAACAGACTTTTCTTTGTATTATGTAAGCAGTTCTTACCTTCTCGTGATACGGGCCAAGGACAATCCAACCACAAAAACAGTAACTAAGATAGATAATTCCAGCACAGCAGATGAAACGGATAACATTTGGGAAAGCTGCCCTGAGTGTCAGAATGAGAATCTGAAAATAGCCACAGAACATTTGGTAAAACATCTAAAAAATGCACACTGAAGACGAGCATCTGGAAAAACACACACAAGAATGGAGTTGATCTTTTAACAGTTCAAAATGTCCTGTAATTTGGTGCCATCATCATGAATAGGCCTTAAAAAAACCTAAGCATGTAATGCCAAGGTACAATGTTGGCACTGCTTTGTTGATGATAAGTGTAGGAAATATTTTGTGGTCCCGTAGGATGTGTTGTTACAGTAACAAACACTCCCCTTTAAGAGGAGATGTTTGTGTTCAAATACTGGCAGATCTATCTTAGACAACATGAAAAACAAAGTTTAGCTGTACTTCCTTTTCAGAGCTGCGTACGTAAAAGAGCAAAAATAAATGTTGTAAAATGTGTAAACAGTATGGAAATGGCACAACAAACTAATGTACATGTACTGTAGTTGATGGTACGGTCTTACATTATACTTCCTAAAGTAGCCCATATAGCGGATGACCCCAATCCAGACAAACATGGTGCCTGTGCCAAGGAAGATACTGCAGATATCATAACTCGTGAGGACCTGAAAGAAACAGTGCAAGTTTTAAAATTCAACTAATGGACTAAAGGGATACCTTTTAAGTACATGCACACTGTAGACAGCAGCTAATACTGAAAGACAATGTGGTTTGCATTGATCAATCTCAGTCATACTGCAATAGCAAAATCCCCTTTATTACCTTTGTCTGGATCTCTATCTTGAGAATGGAGCCAATGATGGTCAGTGTGTCACTAACAATGATGAGGATATACCAGCCATTCACAAACTCCAGCTTGTCTGACCATGGAATTTCTTTACCACAGTCGTTCCTGCAGTAGAGTGTGTACTCCTGTTTGCAACAGAGAGAAATGGAGGTAAGTTGCACTGTAAATCTGAGCCTTTTTAAAAATCCTTTTGAAAGGTCCAGTGTGTAGGATTTAGTGGCATCTAGTAGATTGCAACTCCCTCGTTTTAACCTCCCCTTCCAACAAAAAAGGGAAACTTCGCCTATGGTGGGAGCAAGACACAAGAATAACAAACACGCCCATATACAGCTGTATAATAGTGAAGAAGTAAAACTGACTGTGAGCCTGTAAATGTTTCACCCAACACTGTTAAAAAGGCTGACTTACATCCTTCAGGGATTGATTTTAAAGAAGTGTGATAACAACAGTCCTTGTTGTATTTTACTGTGAGATCAGTTAACTTACAAGCTGCAACCGAATCCCAGTGATCACTGAGCGTGTGCAGAGGGTGAAGGAGGTGATGCACGTTATAATGATGAGGCAGTCAAACAGCACAGTCAGGTAGATGCTCTTAGCAGCTGAGGGCACAGAAATTAAAATTACTCTCATCTTCAAACAGATTTTATGTGCAGCAAAGTAGAGCAGCCTTAATGAACCCCAGGAATCCTGGACATGGGCTTAAAGGAATACAGATTATTCCTTTGTACATACTAAATTCAGCTCAGAAAACTTACATGCTCCAGTTACTTTCCAGTCTCTGCATTCATTGATGTCTACATCAGTTTCCAGGTCAACCTTGATCCTGCCGCTGTGAGCCTGGTTGTTGAAAGTGATCTGTTAAGCAGACAGCTGAGTTTAAGGAAGGAAAGGGCTATGTTCTTACAACCAAACCCAAAATGCTAAACATTCACTTGCCAGGCCCTAAAGATAACCTTTAACTAGTAAATAGCAGACAGTGTGCAGATAGCCTTACTTTTACTAAATGTGTGTCCTCAAAGAAGCTGGATACAAGATTTACACCGACTCTTTTCATGTTTCATTTTAAACCGACTGCAAGGAGTTCTTAACTGGTTTTGAAACATTGGCTATTTCTGTATAATAAGCTTAGTGCTTGCCACCGGGTCAGATTCAGTCGGATTCCTTTTTTTTTTAAATCAATGAAACAAGGTGGTGGAAACACTACTGCTTTTTCCAAAGGGGACTCAAAATGAAAAGTTCCATATTGCTGCCTTAACTCATATCTGTACTGTGTGAACAGGTAGAGGTCACAAGAAATCACTGCCAACGTTAATGCAGCAATGAAGTGATCAGATGTGTCACATCACTGCTTTTAAATGACAGTCTGTTGTGATGCACTAATGTTTACTGAGCCTTGAAGTGACGTACAAAGACAAGGAAGTCGTAGCAGTCTGGGAGCTCTCGATGTCTCACTGTCTGTAAATTTATGGCCTTGAGAACAAATGTGATCTTGACAGACAGCATTCTGTAAGACAGAGCAGGTGCATTAACTCATAAACAAAATCAGAGGAAAATCAATTAATCTTAAGAATAAGACTTTAAATGTTACGTACAAACCTTTTGAAATGCAATTCAAAATGTGGAAGTACTTCCCGCACTGATGTGTGATACATCGGATAAACTTCGAGGCAGTCTGTTTGATACAAGCCACAACAAAAAGACAACCAACGTCATATATTTTGCAAAAACAAACTCCTTAAACCGGGTTAAGTATTGTGTTTTTCCACGTGTTACTCAGACAATCATGCAGACATACCGGTCTCCACGTTGGCATCTATTTCAAAGGTCTCACTTCCCGGGAAGATGGTACCGTTTCTGTAGAAATCCTGACACAGTAATAAGGGGGTGTAGATGGAGCCGTTTTTCTTATATTCGTGATTGCCGACAGTGATGTTGTGCAGACGTCCATACTAGAAGTGAATAATTGAAATCTCAGTAATAATAAAGTCCAGTTTTTTGACAATTTGACAGAAGAAGTAACTCTCTGCAAAGAGCAGCTGTGGCAGGTTAGCCTGTTTAAGTGAACTGCAATTTTACAGCAGATTTATTCTTAATACACAAAAGACAATGACATAAACAACATGAACAAAGTCCAATCTGGGCCAATCCCATGACACGCTATACTAAATTATTGTCATGGGAGCTTGTTAAGCTTTTTTGTCTTATAAGCATGCAGCGTTATAAAATTCCAACAATGATTTACAGCAACACAAAAGCAAAAGGAAAAATCTAGCGAGTAAAAATCATGCCTTCTTGGTGGCAAAAAGGAGTAAATAAAAAGAAAATGTGAGCATTTAGATACCTGTCCAATGATGTAATCAATGTGATCATAAACATCAGTCTGTCTGTAAACAGCATACGTGTCCATGCCTCCATCAGCATAACCTTTCAAGAAGAGGTGCTTGAATGTCAGCAGATTTTCCTCCTTGAATGTGACAACCATCTGGTTGCTCAGCCCAAAAGACACTAACTGAGACGGGAAAGAAAGACGTTTGTTACCAGAATGAAAGAACACAATTAACAGCTGTTCACATTATGTCTGACATTACTACCTGCATAGTAATAATGGCAATTTTGATGATCTGCAGTATGAGTTTCCATGGTTTTCGTCCACGAGCATGGTACTTCTCACAGGGGTTCATGAAGTAATACTTGATCTTCCTTCTGAGACAGTCCACATTGTCCAGATTCTCCAGACACTCGTGTTGGTGGTCTGCCCAGTGAGTGGGGGCGTTTGTCTCATTCACATCATACAAGTCACTGGTCTCCTCCATATCTACAATTCATTAAATATGAGTAACTAATATGCTATTAAAAAAATGTCATTACAAGATTACTGAGATTAATGGAATGTGAGAAAAAATGCAACATTACAGTTTGTTTTTATTACATTTGGACAAATAATGGACTTTAAAAACAAAGTGTTCCTTTGTTGGCACCAATACAGCAAAAAAAACTAATCAGCTTCACATCTGGCTTGAGCATGGTAGGCGTTAAAGTTTAGGTGTAATATGTAATGCAACCAAATACAGTTGCCATGCAACAAATAATACCTTTTTGAAGCCTAGACTGTTTCCCTTTTTTGTGTCAAAAGTTTGGAGAGTGTGGGTGTTGTAGTGTTGGACTTCCTTATATTTAAAGCGCTTTCTAATATTTTTCCAGCTTCCATTTACATACATAGAGGGAACTACAATGAGGTAGAATAGAAACACTTTGTACTATTATGAGATCCAATACTTAACACTTAACAGCACCAACAAACACTGAACATTAAAAGCTTCAATGATAAGATTTATTGGATGATTGCTGTTGTGTCCTGGACTGTACAGGTGTGCCTGATAAACAACTACTGCCAGGAAGTGTTATTCTTCCTCGTTTTCTTTCCTGAAGTCATAGTAAACATCTTATAAGCTGTAGATCTACTTCCATTGACTTTACCCTCAGAGAAAATGACTGACCAATCAGCAACTGTCTGGAAGGTAATGAAGTCAGGTGTACCTGAGCATTGATGAATAATACACTGCAGCTCACAGTCTGAAACTAGACCAGCTTCCACCATTGTGGCTAACTATCGAATATCCATCAGTTTCCGTGTAAGAATTAAACTTGTATCCTGTCGATCCTCCTGTCAACAGGGAACACTAATACAATCAAACATGACATTAGCCAATGGGCTGCTCACCAATGTCCCGCACGAGGATAATTAACTTCTAATTATATCCACCTGTCGTCTGCGGCGCGCGCGTCGTGTCCAGATGTCTCGGTTTTAATTAAAATAATATAACTAAGTTACAAGTGTTTTCCTGTGAGAGTCATGGCTGAAGTAATTACACTGAACCTCCGGCCTGTGTGTTATCTGAGCGAACTCCTTTAAAACTGCGTGAGAACTGTCTCAGGTAAGTTCTTACGACCACAGGACGTCATCTGGCTGCTGCGACCCGATTGGCTCCCGGACCTGTCAGTCAAAGCGTGTTCCTCACTCCTGTAACCCCTGGCAACCAAACAATCCCACGGATGAGCGGAGAGGATTTACCGTGAACTGTTTAAGTGCCGGTAAACTGCATTTCTTCCTCCTTTAATGAAGGTGACACAACGCGAACAAAGCCTGTCCACAGAGCTCTTTAAGTGTCTTCTCTCTTCTGAGTTAACATTAACCGTGTTCTTATTGTGAGGTCGGCAGATATATTGTATTTTAACCATTCACGTTACATTATGATACTGCAGCGATGGATGCATTCATGTGTGAGCAGCTGTGTTGTGTTGTATCTGCTGCAGCTGATCTTTACTACTTCATTGGCGTGGGAAAACACCAAAAAAAAGGATGTAAACAGAAGAGTTGTGATATGCAGAAATATATATTAGTATATACATGTACACTGTTGGGTAAATTAATCTGTAAATGCATCGTGTGGTAAACAATTTGTAAATAGAAACTATAGCTGTAAAAAATAAATGTAGTGTGTCAAATGGATACAGGATGTTGTTGATCAAACTTACTGAATCTATTTGCATTTATAGATGGATTTGCCAAACAGTTTATTTAAATTTCACCCTTGCTTTGGCAGTGTAAACAGTGTGTTTTGCTAATGAAGTAGTAAAGATTAGCTGCACCTCCAGCAGATACAACATAACACTGCTGCTCATACGTTAATGGATCAGTAATAACATTATTACTATATTACTTACTAACTACTATACTCTGAGCACTTAACCAAGCAATTTTGTATAAAACCTTTCCACAACAAGGTAACTCAAGTTCTTCATACCAAAAATTATCTAAAATCGTATGAATAGAAGAATAAAAGAAGAACTTTGTCATGGCATTTTTTTTTGGCATGCTGGGCTTTGATTTGATTGATTTGATTCAACTTTATTGTCATTGTAAGTACATGGTACAAACTGAGTTACGAAATGACCAGTTTATGCATCAACCAGAAGTGCAAAGTGCAATTTACAAACGTACAGAAAAGAAAAAGTAATAATAACATTATAGATATATGAATGAATATTAACATTATGAACAGTATTAACAGAATAAATACATACGGCAGGGTCAGAGAGGTTATTGTGATACTGCTACTTTCATCAGAATTCATCCCCACTTTATATCACGAGTTATAATCTAAAACCATAAAGTAAACCATAAAAAGGTATGTGAATACTTCATTTTATTTTTTACAGATAAAATAAATGTAGAAAGTTTTATGATATTCTAGAGACCTTTAAAAAAAAAAGGCAACACAAAAATGGTTCAATTCTCTTATCTTCCACAAGATGTCGCCACGTGCATTGGTAATGATTTTTCTGGCCCTTTTGGGAGACACTGCTCTATCACTGTGTGTAACATGAGCTTGTGGTGTAGAAATGTAACACCATATGTTCTTAAATTTGTTTGTCAACTTTCTCCCTCTCGTTAGTGAAGCTATTCTAAGAGCAAAGATGCCACCGAAGACACCAAAGAGTGCAATAAGCAGCGCAGGCAGTAAAGGGAGAGCTAAAGGTGGGTGTGTGTGAATACGGGTACGGTCTAAATGTATGTAAATGTTTGTCCAAGAAAGATCAAATGGAGAGACATAGAAAATAAAACTATCTGTTACTTCCCATTCAGGCAAAAAGAGTCAGTCACCTATACTTGTGGAAAAACCTGGTAAGAGAAAATCATCTTATTACTTATTTATTTACCTATCCTAAACTGTGTTGTAGAAGAGACAATGAAAAAGGCCTTTCAGTACTTAAGTATTTACTTCATTCACTGAAGCAAATTTCAATCCTCTTTTATTTTTAATAAAAACAATTTATATTGTCTGGTCTCGTAAATCTTACACGACATTTGAACCCAGTTAACTAAATAGAATAGAATAAAATTCCTTTATTGACATTGCAGATTGTACAGCAAAGTTTGTTGTGCAACTCCTAAAACGGCACTTTAAGCCTTAAATTTAGTTCTGTACATTTCTAATTTAATTTAAAATCTTTAGAGTCTAATGTGTTTTTAACGTATGTACTGTTTTATATTGTCTTGCTGATTGATGTTCTTGTATGT